TCCTATGCCTTGCCTTGCATGCATATTCCATATATTTATATTCCCATAATAACAAAACAAACAAAATTTGAGAAATCTCTCCACACCGCCATTGATATTAGTGAGAGAGCGGACTACTCTAGCGTCTAGACTCATGGCTATGGTGGCAACTGGAGTTTGCGCATATGCCACCGGTTACTCGCCGGTGTTCCGCCGGGACAGGGAGATGACATCTTTTAGGCCAATATTACTGAAGCAAAGCCGGACTCCGGCATTTGCTGTATCCACGTTGTCGGAGCAGGCATCAACGGTAACTAATCCCAAGTCAACGCTTCCTCAGAACAATGGAAAATTTCAGGAACAAGAAGCGACGAGAAATGTTTATGCCAATATGGACGAATTACCGGAGGAAGACGAAGGTAGGAAGAAGCTCATGGATTTCTTTGAGGCCTGCAAAGAGTTTATCGGATCCGACGGCGGTCCGCCTCGCTGGTTCTCTCCTTTGGAGTGCGGCTGCAGGGTACCGGATTCTCCCCTGCTTCTCTTTTTGCCTGGTCTGTTTTGTCTTCTCTCTTCTCACTACCATTTTTTTTTTTCATTTTTCTCTGTCATTTTAATATATACTGTCCGTCAGTCAAAATCAGAGGATTCAAATCTCTTTCTGCAAACTGGAATTAATAATTTCCTTGTGTAGCAAACGGAGCTAGCTTTGAATTCATGATTCATGAAAATGAGTGTTGATTTGCATCAATTGGAAACTAAAATAATTAAATTCTCAGGAATTGATGGCACCGGACTTGGGCTTCTAATGCATCACCGGAAATTAGGAAAGTAAGCAGAAATTTTAGCTCATGAATTCATCTACTGGTAGATGTAATTATTTTCTTAAATTAGTTTTAATTTAGGATTAGGATTTTTGTTTTAATTTGGACTTCACACTTGTTCATCAGCTAGTTCTGTGCTTATTAATGTTTTCCTTAAATGAAATGAAGGATCTTTGACATTTGGTGCTTGCATATTCCAGTCAAGGACAGGACATCTTTTACAGGTATCCAATGATGAGTGTCTACGTACATGTACAGTCACATGTTTGTTAATACAAATTTTAGTTTTAATCTTCTGTTTTTCTTATGGGATTCAGGCCTAGTGCAGCTTGTTGAAAGTACAGTTAGGTCAGAGTACTCCAGGTCGCCAAATAGACCAATATATCTT